GCGGGGCTTGTTGGCTACATTTTCTGAAGCCATCCCACCATGCATTTCTGGGGCAGTGCCTGTGCAGTGGGTGAGGTCTGCTCCAGCCATGTCTGGGGAAACCCAGAACCATGTGCAAATCTCGCAAGAAGAGGAGAATGCCTGGCTCACCAGTGGGCTCCCCACCCCCCGCAAAAAAAAAAAAAAAATCAGAGAAAACAAATATGAGACACAAGGAAGATGAATTCCTTACAGAAAATGTAATGAAAAGGAACTGGTAAGAGGTTCTTTCCTTTATTGGGGAGAGTGCTATTAATAACGGATGACACGATAAAAGAGCTTTTAGTGCTCTCTGACCTGTGCCTATTTCAAACGTCCAACTCTGACCCTTTCACTGATGCCCAGACATAACTCCAGGTTAGTGAAAGTAAGGAGCTACATCTGAAACTGGTTTTTCAAAGCTGCAGACGCTCACATTTGACATCCCTGCTAAGTGAAGAAGAGCCTACAGCAACTGGTAGATTATTAGTAGATTCTGAGAAGTATGGAGTTCCAGGTTCATCCACACTGGGAAAAACCTAAGATAGAGAAGATCATGCTGGGAATCAGGATTTCTCCAATGTCCAGAAGCATAAGGGAATACGCAATCTTTGGGGGAAAAAATCCTAGAGTCCCTAACCAAGGTACTAGTTCATAACCAAGGAGATGATGCAGAATGATAAAATACATCTAACTTTTCTAAATAGTAATTTTTTTAGAGACCATGAGGTTATAAAGAAGCAAATAAACAGAATATATAGACCTTTCTTGGTTAAAGCTGTATTAAACATACTTATATGAACACTACAATAAATCTGCTTTATTCAAGATGGTTGTCCCTGAGACGTCACAAAAATGCCCACTGGTGTCGAAGGATCTCCATGGACTCAGACACAGCTGTAGGGTTCAGGGCATCGTGCTCTCCCTGCCTGGTCCTCTTCCTATGTTGCACTTCCCTCCTCCCCCTCCCACTCTCTCTTCCTCTTTCCCCCTTCTGCTGTCAAGGTTATCTACTGAGCTCTTGCATGTTCTCAGGATGCATGTGTCCTTCCCCTGTTACCTGCCCTGACTCAAGCACAGGGCACACACCCTACCTGTGACATTCAGCACCAAACTTTTTATCTTCCCCCTGATTTACAAATGCCTGGCCACTCACTGTGTGCCTCCCACATCTTCTCCTCACCAACAGCTCCTTCTTTTCTGTTCTCTCGCTGTTGCTCTGCTCTCTCAAGTCCAGGGGTGGTTTTTAACTCTCGCCCCACCCCCCATTGACTTTGGTTTGCTTCTACCATCTCTCAAAAGCTCTCACTGGCTGAAAAGAGTTTTTGCCAGTGTTCTAGAAATCAGTGCTGAACACACACATAACTACATCTATTTAAGGGGAAGGGTGTATCTGGCCACACTACCTTTTGTACCTCTCTCACCTCTGTTCCCAACTTTTGATCAACAGGACCTGTAATAACATGCGCATACTATTTGTTCAAGAAATATTTTGTTGGACCGCTAACAGGATGGATGGGGATGGGATTATTTTGAAAGTGAGTTAAACAAAGGACAATTCTGATTCTCATCCTTCTTTAGTCAAAGCCTCCAACATGCAAAGCAGGAAGATGAGCTCAACTAATATTACTGGTGTATCTTTTTAGAGTTAACATTCATATTAACAATATCATAAGGGAAAATGGATGGAGTTCATCAGTGTTTGAGAACATCTAAAAAGAGAAATATATTTGTTAAGTGTACAGAAGGCATCATGCTGGGAAAAGTAACTGATATCATAAAGAATAAAATAAATAAGCAGGTGAAGTAGGAAACAAAGTGAACAGGAACCAGGAAGAGCTGACCATTAAACTGAAAAAAACACAGAAGGTGGGGGGTGGGGTAGGGGGTGTTGAAATCAGGAATCTGATGCTAGATGGAATTAACAGAAACGTCACGGGTGAGAAGAGTTACCAACTGGAATTTTATATGGCTATAGCAAAATATTAATTCAGAGAAACAGGTCAAATTCTCAACTCCATCTTGTATCAAAGATACGGGAAAAATTACAGAGAGCTGTGCTGAAATACATCACGCTTTCAGGGCCAGTTAAGAGATGAGCCACTCCATGAGGCCTTTCAGAATCAACCCCCGAAACAAAGACTCTTCCTCTTCTGCGCTCTCACATGTCCTTATATAAATGCCATTGAAGAGTCAGGAGTTCTTGATATAAGAAATAAATTCATCAAGGCAATGGGGAAATAGCACCTAAAAAGGAAGGTTTAGGGCAATTAGACTAGTTTTGCCCGAATAAAAGGATATATGATGAAATCCGGCCATTTGTGACAACATGGATGGTTCTTGAGGGTATTATGCCAAGTGAAATAAATCAGAGGGAGAAAGTCAAATACCATATGATCTCACTCATAAGTAGAAGATAAAAACAACGACAAACAAACACACAGCATTGGAGATTGGACTGATGGTTACCATAGGGAAAGGGGGGAGAGGGGAGGGCAAAAGGGGTGATTAGGCTCATGTGTGAGGGGATGGACTATAATTAGTTTTTGGGTGGTGAACATGATGTAATCTACACAGAATTCGAAATATATTATGATGTACACCTGAAAGCTATATATTGTTACAATCCAATGTTACTGCAATTAAAAAATAATAATAATAATAAAAAAGGATATAGACAAATTAAGTTTCAAGCCTAGACGACTGTGGTGCATGTTTCCACTCCATGAGTTAAGCATGGTGAATCTGTAATATACGGCTTCTTGTGCTCACTGCAGGCCCCTCAAAAGCTGATCATGTAGGGAATATATATTCATTTCAGTATTAGTCCAAGCAAATATAATTAGGAAGACTGCCTGACAGCATACAATGGTTCCTCAAGTCAAATATATTTGGAATATTTGCTTTTTTGTTTTATCAATGTCACTGTTCCCCTATCACAAGCATAGTTATCCAAGAGCTGACTATTAATGTAGAAATCTAAGTAGCTGTTTTCAGCATTACTAAGACGTGAAATGGGTTTAAACGTCTAGGGTAGGTGACACATAAAGTAGAAACTGACATGGAAGGATGGTGAGTGATGGGAAAAGAAGGTGAGGATGGAGAGAAAGCAACATCCCTTCTGGAGCTTGTGGTCAAGATCATGGGAAACAAAGAAGGGGCAAGATCTGGGTATAGAAAAGCTTATAGAATAACTAAAAAAGGAAGGAGGAAGGTGAGCAAAGACACCTGATGCAGCAGACAGCAGAAGGCAAGAGAGTGATTCAAGAGTTAGGCAGAAAATCGAAATGAGGCCAACAAACAAGAAGAGGGCAAGTCATTAAAATCTGAGTTTTAAACATTCAAAGGAAATTGATATGCACTTTCTTAGCAATTGTAGAAAGCATTTGGGTAGTGGAAGGAAAAAAGCTATCATAAAAATATAAAAAGTGATAAAAATGACTATTAAATGTATCTGGGATGTAGAACTGTTTTGGTTCAAATTTAAGATCTTATGATTCCATTTTAAAAATGAAAAACTTAGATTTAACTTAGAAAATGACATTGATTTTTATTTCAATGACCACATGTTCCTCACAACAGTTTCACTGACGCAGTACGCTTAGCTTTTTTCTTCCATAATTACTGACGGCTAGTAATTAGGTCCTAGTCCCAAAGTCTTATTTAACCATGACTAAAACAGGGAATGTGAGATTTATTTATAAATCCAAATAAAAAGACTAGTAGCAAAAGAGAACTAATTTACCTCCTTAGACAAAAATTTATGTGGACCTACTCATTTTATACATGGAATTTTCTCAAATACATACACCATCTTTGAAAATGGCCCAGATCAAATCTGGCTGCAGAAGTTTTCTTGGAAAGTCAGTAGATAAGCTAGTATCCAGGGCATTAGGTGAGGGGAAGAAAGCTATCTCCTCTCTGCCTCACGTCCTGAAGCTCTGAACCCAAATAAAATGATCAATAACAACACTTTGGCTGAATATTTGGCTCTCCAGTAGCATTGTCTCTTCCACATTGTTCTTAACACAAAATTCTATGCTCCATTAAGAAGGAAAACCACAAAGGCCTCACTCCATTTACTTTTAGATTCACAGTTACATGAGTAAACATTAGCTGCCAGCTGAATACACTGTCAATGGTTTGGGTTAATCTTCTGGCTCCTTTATTTGACACTGACATTCACGGTTCTTATACAACCAGTGCCAATTTTAAGGTACACAATGGATTTAAGAAGTGTTGTTCACAGGTTTTATGCAACTGGTTCAATAGCTGTGTCACTCAATTTTTACACCAGGTGAGCAGAGCTGTTTCAAAGCCAAGAAGTTCTGAAATCGTGCCCTTGGGGTTTTATCACCACCAAGAAGGCAGCAGAGGTGGAACTCCAGCTCTAAAGAAATGTGCTTTTCCAAGGTCTTGGCGAAACTGTAGGACAGTCACTGTCTGTGTGATATAGCTTTTTCTTTTTTCATGGAAAGAATGTTATGCAAAGAGTATTTAGTCTTATCTTTGAATAAAATGGAATAACGAGGCCCTAAAATTAGTTAATTTTAATACATAAAATAATCTGACATTTGTTCTCACTGATGATAAACATTAATTCTATATAACAATCCTTCTATTTTTATTCTTGAGATTAAGTGAGTCTGTACGATAATGCATGTCTCTAACATAAGCACCTGCCATTTTGTTGACCTTACCAAATGCTAATCCTAGATCAGATCACCTATTAATGAAATGCCTCCCTCTCTGACACAGGGTTTGGGAATCAGAGAAACAACACTACAGCTTCCCAGAGAAAACACATTTTCTTTTCCTGAGCTAGGAGCACAAACTCCATTCCCTCCATTCCTTGAAATTTTCATGAGAAATATTTAACAATTACTGAAGAAATCACTTACTATGATAAACAGATTCAGATAAACAAAAAGGCATAAGAAATTAGCAAAGTTAGATCCTTAAGTGATGGTCAACAGCCTTACCTATCAGGGTGTGGAAGACGGCAGCGATGGCCCCAGCCACCACCATGCACAGGACAGCTTTGGTCCTGTCTCGCTTGCTGTTCACAAACACCAGGCCCACATTTTTAAAGTCACTCATGGGACCCGTGAAGAACTTCATAAGGGAGTACGCCAGCCCGTAGCTCGCCAGCATTTCCACTGCATCCTCTTTGACAGCAGCAATGCCCCGGTTCAAGGCCTGTGGAGGGGAAAAGACAGCCCACAAACAGCATTAGAAATGTCGTTCAACTCTGGGGAATCACATTTCTAAAGTAAAACTCAGCAGATCATGTTTCTATAGAAACACTAAGCAGTTACAGGGTAAATCTCACTGTAATTTGATAAAGGTTATTAGTTTTCATTTTCATCCACATTAGCTTCAGTTTCAATTAGCTTCTTGTGGGGGAGATACCTGTTTGTTGGGGTTAAAGTAATAGAAAGAACCCAATGGGTGTATTATGTTAATATCAGAAAATAATTCTAAGAAGTTTTGGTTAAAAGCTTAACATGTTAAATTTTATTTGTAGGCTGAATCTACATAACAGCAACAGGCATTCTGGAATGAGTCAGCCACTTCATATGGAGTGGGGGATGGTATTTTTTTCTTTAAGGAAGCTGTGTGTGTGTGTGTGTGTGCATGTGCACCCATAACCTGAAATGCTGTGTATGTGTTATGTAGGTACCCTTCATAGCACAGAGTGAGTTCTATGCTATGAAAAAAGATACTGAAGGAATTTAGTACATCATCAATGGATCCTATTCACCTAATTCTCAGCGTATTTTAACTTGAAATATATTCCTGTGCTCTGTGCAGACAAATATGAAAAGAAAACTTGAAACCAAATACACTGTTTTTGGATAATGCTTGCTCAAGAAGATGCAGTCATAGAATATTCTGATTATTTTAATCATCCTCCATGAGGGACCCTCTGAAGTACTGGTGGCCTTGTCAGGATGGCATTTCCAAATGAACTTTCCCACCTACTAGACAAATAAATTACACTGGAGATGGTGGGGATGGATGTCCAGGAGGAGAGAACTTTATTAAAAACATGTCACCAGGGGCCAGCCCCGTGGCCAAGTGGTTAAGTTCCTGTGCTCCGCTTCTGCGGCCCAGGGTTTCGCTAGTTCGGATCCCGGGCGCGGACATCGCACCGCTCATAAGGCCACGTTGAGGCGGCGTCCCACATGCCACAACTAGAAAGACCCACAACTAAAATATACAACTATATACTGGGGGGATTTCAGGAGAAAAAGCAGAAAGAAAAAAAAAACCCAAAACATGTTGCCAGATCTGCCTCTGAGAAGTTTTAGGTTCACAGCAAAATGGAGCAGAAAATACAGTGTTGCCATATTCCCTCTACCCCAACACACACACAATATCCCCCACTATCAACATCCCACCCCAGAGTGGTACATTTATTACAATCAATGAGCCCATATTGGTGCATCATAATAGCTCAAAGTCCAGAGTTGACACTAGGGTTCACTCTCGGTGTTGTATATTCTAGGGGTTTTGACAAATATATAATGATACGTACCCACCATTATAGAGTTGAACATCCTATGCAAAGTACTGTTAGCAGGAATGTATTTATAGGAAAATACCAATGCGTAAAATGATTTTAGAAAAATCTAGATTAAAAATGTAGCTGTAGGAATTCAGTATCATTCTTCTGACAAAGTTGGTATTACATAAGCTAGTTTATGATAATGGTTTCCAATTTTATCTCCAATTCTCTTTTCCTTTTTCCAATAACTTAAAAACTTCCATAAGAACCTTCTCAGCCTTTGCAGAGCATACCTGCCATCATGGCTTCTTTAGAAAGAAATTTCCTTCTATGAAACCTCTAATACCTTAACGCCCTAAAGCAAAATAAAAGCCAGCCAGCTCCTCGATGATATTCCCGTGTTCAGTAGGTGTATCTAGTCAGGGGGTTTCCTGTTGTACGTCAAAACCTCTCACTTGATAATCTTCCAAATTAATTTCCTTTTGGATTTCCGCAGTGGATGCTGTTGGTGTCCCACCCAGATCTCCTTTACTGGGTAGTGCACCCACGCCCAGGGTGCCACACCGGACCCCCAGATAGCACACAGCCAATGCCTGGCTGACACAGGGGTATAAAAGATCAGCTCCCATACCTCAGGGAGGGATCAGTCTAGTACAATTCATGTTCCAGAGGTTCCCTGTGGGACCAGGTGGAAGCTGGTCTCAGTGGAGACCACATCCTTGCTTCCCTTTTCCTCACTGCCCACTGCTTCTGTCCCCGCTTCTCCTGAGAGCACGCACTCAATGCACCACTTGCACAAGAGCTCCCCAACACCGGTTCTGCTTCCAGAAAACCCAACTTAGGACAACTTCAAATCACGTTTCTCTCAAGACACTGAGAACAGTATATGGTTTGTGCTTTTTCCTTCTTATCCTTCCCCAAATCTATCACTGTAAATTGTTTACTTTTTTATTGCTAAAATGTTTGTTCAAATTTAAATGATATGGATTATTTGGCATAAGTTTAAAAAGCATATAGGAGGGCACCTACATAATGGAGAATTAGACTTTTTATGTGTCTTTTTTTTTTGAGGAAGATTAGCCCTGAGCTAACATCTGCTGCCAATCCTCCTCTTTTTTGATGAGGAAGACTGGCCCTGAGCTAACATCCATGACCATCTTCCTCTACTTTATATGTGGGACACCTGCCACAGCATGGATTGTCAAGCAGTGCATAGGTCCACACCCGGGATCCAAACTGGTGAGCCGTGGGCCGCAGAAGCAGAACGTGCAAACTTAACCGCTGTGCTACCGGACTGGCCCCAAGACTTCTTCTGTGTCTTGTTGGCAAAGCTTTATTTATCCTTTGCTAAAAAGACACCAGCCCTGGCTGGGGCATCCACTGCAATGCTCCCTATTTCCACCAACAGTTCCTTGATGGAGTTTTAAACCCAGAGCTGAGGCAGGTGAGGAGAAAGAAGGACGAGGGAATGATGGCCCTGTCAGCAAGACTGAGTGTGAAAGCTTCACGGAGCTCAACAATTAAGGTAACTCGGGGGAAGAGCACAGGGCTTAGAGCCATGTAGACTTCAGTTGGATCGGCATCCATCACTTAATTACTGAGTGGCCTTGGCCAAGGTACTTATCCTCGCAGAAATAACCCAACTGATCTTACATTGGATATAAGTAGTGCGCAGGGCGCCAAGCACTGACTGGCCTAGAGAAGGCACTAGAAGCCAGGATTTTTGTCTATTTTGTTTACCACTCGACACCTATCATCTTGCTACATCATAAACACTCAAATGTTTGTTGAATGAATGAATGAACTAGGTATCTTCTATCAGGAACTTTAATGTTCATACTAATTTTTATGAACTTAAAAAAAATTACACTTTGATTGTAGGATGCTATTACTTGTAAGATATACCATTGATTTAATGTTTTGAATGACCACATTAAATGTATACCATGAATGAAAAACGTCTCCTGATCTCAGGAAAGATTAAAATGCAAGGAAAAAAGAGCTTTAGAATTGAGGTCACATGCTACATTAATATTATTAGCTTTTTACTATTCTTCTTTGTAGCAAGTATTTCCCCCAATTTGTTCACATCTTAATTTCATGATTTTCTTTTGATGCCAGGAATGTTAAGTTATTATGTAGCTGATCAATCATTTCAAGGAGTTTCTTTCCATATTTTGGACTTTGCCATTCTTACCCATCCATAGATAAGGTAATTTTGTTCTAGTTTATGTTTCATGGGCACACTTAACTTTTTAACCCTCCTGGAACTTACTGTGTGAGATATGGCTTAAAATTAATTTTCTCAAAATAGTTTATTTCTTCAAAACTAATCTGAATAAAACACCATTGCCCACGTATTTGTGATGTTTTCTTATCCATCATTAGTTCTTATGTGTCCTCAGGTACCTCTTATTTGCTTTGTCCCTGTCTCCTCTGCTTACCCTGTTTTCCTTCATAGCCTGTTCATCACCCAATATTATATTGTCTGTTTACTTGTTATTTGTCTTGTTTTCTGTCTTCTCCAGCCGAATGTGAGCTCCAGGGCACAGAGAACTTTGTCTGGTTCATGCTACATCCCCAGACCTACAGCATAGTAGGGGATCCACGATAGGTGATCTGTAACTATTTGAATGAATGAAGAAAAACGTACACAAGCAGCATAAACATTTACTGTGATAGGTACTGAAGAAATAGGCTACTGAGCTGGGGACTTGGAGAAAGCTTATTCAGGTGGACTAGACAAGGAAACCCCCCCAAAGAGGTGACATTTGAGCTGAGACCAGAAGAACAAGAATGAACCAGCTGTATGAAGAGCTGGAGGAAAGTCTGGTGTTTTTAAGGAACAGAAGGGAAGCCAGTAAGAGAAGAAGAGAGGGGGATACAGTGAGTTTGGAAAAGTAGGTGATGCTGAGGTCACCCCAGGTCATGGTGAAGAATGTGTGCTTTGTTCTACAAGCAGTGGGAAGCCATTGAAGGGTCTGAGCACAGGTGGGACAGAGGCTCATGCTGGCCGTGGGGATAGGAGTGGGCTGGAGAGGGAAGGGCAGAAGCAAGAAGTCAAGAGTTTTATGGTAATCCAGGTAAGAGAAGGTGATGGCTTAGACTAGAGTGGGATAGTGGAGATGGAGAGACATGGATTGATTTGAGAGCTTTCTGGAGGTGAAATAAATGAATCTGCTGATGGACTACATGGTAGGTGTGAGGAAAAGGGCAAAATCAGAGTTGACCGTTGAGTTTTTTGACTTGAGTTACTGGTCAAATGTTATATGTAGCTATTTACTGAGATGGCGAGACTGGGGAGAGAAGGTTTAGGAGGAAAAAGCAAGAACTCCACTTGGGAGCCCCCTACTGGGTTTCAGATACTCATTAGAATTCCAAATAGAGAAGTCAAGCACAGTAGTTGGCCATGTGAGTCTGGAGTCCGGGGGAGACATCTGGGCTCTGGACATACATTTAGAGGTCATCAGCATATAGATAGTATTTAAAGGTAGGAGACTAAATGAGATCATCTAGACAGGATATAGATAGAAAGCAGTCCAAGATTCAGCCTAGTAGCACTCTAGAAATAAATTTGAACAAAAAAGACGTGGCAAGCCTTCCATGTTATCCCAGTATTGTAACTATGCTGTAATTTAATGTTAATTAGCTAGCTAGTGCTGTTCTGGCCACATCACTCCCAAACACT